ATATATACATCTGTGTATACTTGTACACGCCAATGGAAAGTAAATATATAATATCTATTTATACCTTTGAACAATTTAATACTATTTATTCTAATAATTAAACTTAAGTGTTTTGTGGCCATTTTCACCTAATATCATGAATGCACCCACCTGTGTATAGCAGATTGTGAAATTCTAGAGAACCGCGTGACGTGAGTTGACGACGGATATGGCGGACAAGCTGTATTTTAGCAAAAAGACGCCATAATTTTTTACGATTATAGGGTATATTGGTGATGTACCGTACGTATCAACAAAACGAGGTAGGCCTAAGTATTATGTGTTTTAAACTATACTAAAACAATTGCAATTTGTATTATTTTTTTTTGAGGTCCGTTATCATACAATACGAGTCAGTTTCTTTGTAGGTGTGCATGGCATGGTCGAAATAGACTCGAACGATCGCCAGCTTGTTTCGAAAAGGATTTTTGATGTGATGAGGTAGGCCTATGCAATTTTTAAAGTAATTGCAAAAGCATGCTAGACCAATAAATATTTCCTAATTTTTATAGTAAAAGGATAGTATGTGCTTAGCGTACTTGAGGCCATTTAATATTCGGGACGCACCACCTGTATAGACAATGCAATGCCAGAGTGACCACGTGTAATAACGGCTGACATTTTCGATAGGCTGTATTCTAGCAGAAACCTCCATAACTTGCTGTGTTCATAAGGTATTTCTGTGATGTATATATCAACAAAACTAGGCCTATTAAGGCAAGTATTATCAAATATTTGTAACTTGAAAGATTATTTCAAATGACCGTTACGCAAAAAAAAAAAATACGAGTTAGTTTCTTAGTAGTGTGTATGCATGTCTAAATATTCTCGGACTTGGATAATCAATTTCGATAAGAACAGTTGTTGTTATATTGAACTGCTTGTCAATTTCTTTCCAGGGCCACATTTTTATGAATTTTAGTTATTGAACCCAGAAGTATGTGTTTCTAGTGTTCATTTTTATCCTCCATTATTTTCACTTTATAATTATCTTCATTTCATTTCCCTGTTCTTATTTTGTTATCTTTCTCATATTTGTATATATGGCCTATTGTCCTCATTATTTTAAATACTTTTCCTGCTTCTCATCTCATCTATTTTCCTGTCTTGCTCCTTTTTTAGTATTGTGTTTCATTCCTCCTCTTAGGCTCTGCTTTCTCATTATCATTGTATTTTAAGGGGTGACGCCAGGATTTTCCCACAGGGGTCCGTAGTTCCGGACAGGGGGTGGGGGGCGACATCCCCGACGAAAAAAGGGTGGGCGTAGTCGGGCGTCGCCCAAAGTCTTTCAAGAGCGTCCCACGGCCGAAAAATATGATGATTAGTGGTTTCGAAGGCTTGTTTAATCCATTTTAGAGTAATAATATGTAGGAAATTCAAATACATTTTTTTGACACTAACGAATTGTGGTTTTCTCCCTGACCGAGGGAGGACAGCTCTCCCTGACGGGGGTGATCCTGGCACCCGGCTGCGCCACCCCTGGTACTTAGGTCTCAATTTAATTATTCTGCTGCAGTTTCTTGTTTTCTGCAGTTGCTTTTTGAATTTTTTTTTAATGAATCCTCCTTTAGTCTCTTGTTGATTTCATTCCGCCATAACTGTTAACTGTTTTCACTTACGTACATATCACTTCTTCACTTTTATTTTTTACTTTGCTTTATTTACTCCTGTTCTTATCAATGCAGTTCAACAGAAGGACGCTCATTCCTGTACTCATCTCTACACTCTTCAACGTACAGTCCTTTGATCTCATCTGTCATCGACAATCCAATACTAGCTAGTGCAGCCATTAATTATTTGTTTATTGTGTTGTAATATTCAAACTCATGTGGATAATATGTTTACTGAATTTTTCATTCCTCTTGTAAATAAACCCACTCGAATCACAAAGGACACTGCCCCAATAATTGATAATATTTATACAAATAATCAAGAATTCCAAAACATTAACACAGGAATATTAGTTAATGACATCTCTGACCACTTTTCCGTATTCTCCATAGATGATTCAGAAAAATATTCATCACCGCCAAATGAAACATATAGAAGCTATACGAAACAACAAAAACATCGGTTTAGAATTGAATTAGAGGACCATGACTGGCAGCAAGTAACTAGCTGTGAAGACGCTAATGAGTCATATAAACGTTTGTCAAATACCCTAAAAACAATGATAGATCGGTGTTTTCCATTGATAAAAGTTAAGTTAAAAGTAAATACAATTAAATCCCCGTGGATAACGCATGGAATTCATAATCACTTTGTATAAAAAATAAACTATACATTAAAAATAAAAAGAAACCATCAGATATGAATAAAGCTAAATATAAGAAATATAACAATAAGTTATAACGTGGGGGTATTATATTAGGTAGGAAGAAATATCAAGGCATACCGTACCTTCTAAAATTAAATTAAACTCCCAGCAATTAAATGACCCGATAGCTATAGCAATTGCCTTCAACTCGTACTTCATTAATATAGGTGAGCAAATGACACATAATATTAATCACGAAAATAACACAGCTAACACAACATGACAAATTCAATGTTTTTTTAGAGCGGTACTAGAATCCGATATCAATTTAACTTTAATGTAAATAAGTCATGTGGTTCTGATGATATTGGTGCCTTTCTTATAAAGAATAACTCAGTTATACTGGCTAAACCTTTATCTCATATAATTAATTTATCACTTCAATCAGGTATATTTCCTAATCAACTGAAAATTGCTAAAAAAAATTCCCGTGTATAAAAAGGGAGAAAAAGAGAGCATAACAAATTATAGACCAATTTCAATATTACCCTGTATACTATCCAAAGTGTATGAAAGGGTTGTATATAACCAAACATTTGCCTTTCTGTGTAAATATAATCTCCTACATGAATCACAATATGGATTTAGGGCAGGCCACTAATCACGCCCTCTTGCATGATTTGACAAAATAACAACGGCAGTTGATAACAAGCATTTTGTGATTGGTGTATTAATGACATGTTTTCTGTAAGCAACATTGTTGATTTAATAATGTTTGCAGATGACACAAATGGAAAATGAACTTGATAAAATTGGGAAATGGTTTGAAATTAATATTGTAACTATTAATACGTCAAAGACAACGTACATGTTATTCAGTGAAAAAATATTAATATACATACATCCCACCTTGTACTTTCCATAAATAAAGTTAAATAGATAGGGTACCTTATACTAAATTTCTTGGCGCCATCATTGGTGAAAAGCTGAATTTTAAAAACCATGCAAATGCAGTTTCCTGTGAAATTTCTTCAATCATTTGTGCCATGTGTCAAATAAAAAATGCAGTACCATGTGAAGTTTTACTTACCATATACAAGACACTTATATTACCTGTGATAACATACGGAATTATCATTTGAGGTACGGGAAATAAAGAAAATATCGACCGCCTTTATTTACTCCAGAGAAAAGCCTTTGCAATGTCAATTTCCACCATCCCTCTGCACAGCTCTTTGTTAAAACAAGTACAATTGAAATATTTGATTTATATATAAAAAACAGTATTTTGAATTTTATGTTTAAGTATAATAAAGGAGGGTTACCAAAATCTTCTTATTCTTTATTTAATATCTTTGATGCCTATCATACGTATGACACTCGAAATAAAGGAAATTATTGTATAAAATTAAAATCAACCAGTAGTGGTCAGCAAAGTAAAACATACAGAGTGCCGAAGCTTTGGAATCAACTTCCTAGAAGCATAAGAGAGAGTACAAATATATCGATATTAAAAAAGAATTACTAAATAAGAACATAAATAATTATAAACAAAAAATGTATTCTCGTGAAAATATTGTTTGTGGGGTATTTCTTAACTTTATTTAATGGTTTCCTTTAAATGTTTTATTATTATTATTACTATTAGTATTATTATTATTATATAGTTCCTATAGATCATATTTTGTGATTACGTGCATGCGTGTTTATGTGGGTTTATGTATAGGCCTATGTGTGCGTGCGCATGCGAAAATGTGCATCTACAATTGTGACTAAATTGTTAATTTGTTATGTAGTAGAATTTTTTAATTATTAACAATATTATTAATATTTATAATTGATTTGTAAGATTATTAATTTTTAAGTTAAGGGCGCCACAGTTCAAAAGCTTGTAGCTTGTTTGTGGTGGGCCTTTTTTCACACCATTATAATGTTCTTTTATGTATTGACTATTTGATTTTGTGTGAAAATAAACATTTCTCAGACTCAAATTCTCAGATTCTCAGACTCAGTATCAGTTGAGTTTGAAGTGCTGCTAGAAAATACAATTTGGTTCATCCAAATTGACCTGCTTGATAAAAAGTTATGGTGGGCGGGGCCAACCAGCCTTGAAATTTTCCACCTAATCTAAAGCTAATTTCATGGAAATCCACCCATTTTTATTAACCAAATTTTCCATCCTTAAGATCCACTCTTATTATTTAGATTTTACCAATGATGTCACCCACCCTTTTCTACAGCTACAACCCTGGTATAGTATTCAGGGCCGCCGCTGAGAGCCGCCGCGGGCCACAGGGCATCTTCGCTGCCCGGGCCAATTATTTGGGGAGTTTGAGTAGATTAGCACTTTTATATTGCACTCTGTGACAAAATAAACAAACTTGGCAGAAACCTTATTCTTGATCCAAAAAACAATCTTAGAAGGGGTGCCCAAAAATCCTGACAATTTAATGGCGTCATTTTAGACCACGCCCATTTTGTTTTACTATATAAATATGGAAGAATAACGGGTTTGTATAAACATATCAAGTTTGGTATAAAATTAAAGCTCAGGCAATGGACATTGACCCAAACACCCTCAATGTATTATGCGGTGTCTATAGGTAATTAAAGTCATTTTGTCTGTGCCATTTTTATATACATTATGTAAAAATGTAATTCCTCCATGCATGGACATTGCCATAAAGATGACTAGAATGCATTATCTTTCTTCAGTAGTTGTCCGAAATCCGAACAATTAAATGACGTTATTCAGGCCACGCCCATTTTGTTATACATACCTGGTCCATATAAGTATGTAAAAATAAAGGGTTCATGTAAGCATATCAAATTTGGTACCAAATTATAGCTCTTAACGTTTAATGAAAACATATTTAATCATTTTTCTTCTGAGACTATAATAGGTCACTAAAGTCACAAGGAAGCCATCTAGAATGATCAGCTAGACTTACTCATTTGAATTTCTACACCCTCATCCTTGTTTAATTGTGATCATCCTTCAGTTTTTGAGGTATTAGGAAAGGGACGTTAGCACTTAAAATGACCCCAACTTCACGCCTGAATATAGATCGTCACAAAATTAATTAATTAATAATTGATTAATTAATTTCTTCCTTGTAACTTAAACTTTCCAGTAAATTTCATTCAGATCATATAATCCATTTTTGGAATCATATCATATCATATTGATTTCACCAGTAAAAGCAACGCAAATTTACTGTCACTGGCAAAAATACATAGGCCTAATATAAAAATAGATAAATATAAATAAACATTTTTAAAAATTCATTTAAAATCTAAAAGTTGCTAAAGTAAGAGCTTACAGTGCATATCCACACATATAGTTATCGGATCGTCATCAAACTTAATTTCTTTATTGGACCCTGACAAATTGGGTATTATAGAAAGTTTAATTTAGATCCTTTGATAGCTTTTTACACACACACACACACACACACACACACACATATATATATATATATATATATATTAGGTCTGGGAGATCAGAAATTAAAATGACCCTCACATTTTCACGCTAAACTGGATCGTCACTGAAACATAATAGCTTCTTCATAGTAACTTGGTTAAATTGGTCCCCACACCAACACACCACTAGTCAATTATTGTGGCAAAGACCAGCCAAACCAGTCACTCGTCGCAAATCCTGTTTCAGAGATAATAGCCGAAACATGCTGGAATGTCAACATGTTTAAAATAATGATTATTACACTAAACCTCAATGTTAAAACAACAATATTTAATGATTTGATGATGGTTTCTTCAGGAAAGTATAATTTTATACTGATCCATGGTTTCTGCCTGAGAAATGCCCAAAGGCATTGAAGGCTAATTTCTCAAATATTGTTCTTTTAAAAGGTGTATGTTTAAACGTCATAACGAAAAGCTCATATATAAATGATTCTTTTACCAGTTTATGGCTCTCATTTTGCTGTTTTACCCTGTAAATTGAAAATAGATTTTTGCGACGAGTGACTGGTTTGGATTATCTTTGCCACAAATACTAAATTTTATTAGATACATCTGTGGTATATGGTCTATATTTGGACAAAATTGGAAAAGATCCAAGCATGGAAAGTGACCAAAATGCCGGGCAGAAAAACCCTGTTCAAAAAGACATTAAAAATGTTATGCAAGAAGAAAAAAAACAAATAAGGACGAAAAATGGCTTTTCCTGTAACGGCTAGCTAATAATTTATGTATTGCGTATCTCATGGTACTCTTCTCAGTCACATTACATCTTTATTTATCTACCTACTTTTTTTTTGCTTTTCTGCCACTAACTTCTAAAAACAAAAACGCGTTTGTCTAATTTCATATCACGTATTCTATGTATTTGACTCAGATTAAGGAGAAATGTATTTGCAATTTCCATTAATTCCAATTGTTTATAATATAACATTTACATTTATGGTAACAATTTAGTATTTTCAGGGAATTTCACTGCTTCCTGGTATTTTCAATGCCCAATAATATTATAGGCTGTTTCAACAGTGCACTATAATTGACCTACAATATTTTTTACGTTTAAATGTAATAATGTTTTATTCAATAACTTGTGCTATAATTAACGACATTTCCACAATGTTTTTAAATAAATTATTTTAATTTTGTATAAATGAGTTTCCTTAACATACCAAACTTGCTATATTCATCGTTAGGCCATCAAAAATGTTGATAGATACAGTACATTGGAAAATAAAAGCACTGAATAATGTTTGCTCTCAAAATCAGTGGCAGATTCGGGGGATTGTCCCTGGCTCTTCCCATAAATGAAAAAAAAAATTACATTGAAATTTTAAGTTTATAGTGGCATTTCCGGTGCCTGGGGTGCCATAATTAACATTTTTCCTACCTCAGCCCCAACCATGGTGGGGGCTAAGGTAATATCGATCCTCCATCTCTGAAGGTACCTCCCTGAAGGTACCTCCCTGCACCCCCTCCCAATTTCCAGGACTGCTACTGAGAAAAATGTTTACTACTCTTCATATTGCATCTTCAAAATCTATTAGGACCTCATCAAGAATGGCTGAGCTTGGGGGTCCCACCAACTCGACCCCAGAATGGCTGTGCTTTGGGGCCCCACTTTCCACAAATTCCCACTCATTCTATAAAAAAAAAAATCCTGCGTACAATTGATTGGATTGGATGGTAGTCTAGAAAAATACTTGCTTCCAGTAATGTCTTTCTGTGGTGATTGGCAGTACACCAGGAAACAATCCTGTCCTCTTTTCCAAAGAGTGTACTGCGTTTTTTAACGTGCATATGGCCCATAAATGCACATGGGACCAACGGCTTAAATATCTCATCCGAAAGAACGTGTGCTATTGTAACTTGTATTTCAGCCCTCCAGAAACACAAGGAGAGGCAGATTCGCCGACCGAGCTAAGCTCCTTTATCATTCCAGGTCAAATCAACCACCATGCCCATGTGACCTCCCCCACCCCTTTTTTTTATTTTCCTGACAAAAATTATAAAAATACCATTGTAAAAAATTAGTTAATTATTATTATTATTAAAACTTTTTTTTAGTGTAATTAAGATATTAGAAAATTATAAAAAATACCATTGTAAAAAATGAGAACGCTGAAGGAGTTGGGAAACTAAGTTAAAACTTTATACTTACAATATGATGTAACATGATGGCGTGAATATCTAATGAAATCGGAGCAATCAACTGAATGTAATCGGTTGTATGAATATAAATCTGAAAAAAACATTATTATCAATTCTTTATATAATTTTGAAAAAATTAGGGCCCCTGGCCGGCTCCACCCACCCCTGTGAATCCGCCATTGATTTTATTATCACCAAACTCTAATCTTCAATATCTACTCATTTATTTTAAATACCCTTCATGTTGGTCCTGATTTTTCAAATCTCACTTCTGATAAGTGTAATTAAGATATTTGTTAGAATTTTATTATTATTTTTATTTTATTTTTATTTTTTTTCCCACCTGAATGGGATTGTCGGGGCCTTCTTCCTGTAGTATGTTGTTATATAGTTTGGGGAGTTACAGTCCGTGGTCAATAGATGACGCTACACCGACAGCGAGATTTCACGAAATCATTCCCAAGGTGCATGGACTTGCTTATGATTAAGCTGTGTTGAAAACCAGCGAAAGCTCGATAATAAAAAATACCAGTTAACATATTTATTTCAAATATTTTAGATCATCAAAAAAAATTCTAAATAGGGCTTACAGTCTGATATCCAGATGAATCCTTTCACGAAGGCAATTAAGATATTTGGAAGTTAAACAATAGTTGTTTGATTTTAATTCATTTTTTAGGTTTTATTTCTTAGTTTCTTTTGATTTCTGGTTTCTGTAAATTTTTGTGTTTGTTCCAAGTTTCTCTGTTTTTAAATAAAGCTTATTATTATGTGATATTCAGCTTCTCATATTTGCCTTATCATCGCCATATTGTCTGAATATATGGGTGCATACAAGCATTCAATTGAATAATCTCCTATTTAGCCCTAGTTTTTTTTTGCAACAAATATTTAAAATAAAAACAATTGGAAAACATTTTTTAAAGTCTTAAAGTGCTATGTCCAGGCATCCAGGTTGCTAAACCAAGTTATTTTCATCAACTTCAGCCCCAACGAGGTGAATGTGAGCTCCCCTAGTACTTGCTTTCCCTCTGATAAGGTTGGCCACCCCGTCCTCCCCTACCCTCCCCCTCAAACTCACAGCTGTCAATATTTACTGAATATACTCGCATATAACTTGTTTAAATTAGCAAATTATGAGGGGGTTGTCTTATACGCGGGACATACAAATGTTAGATTTGATTTTGTCCCCTGAAAATGATAAAAAAAAAATAACTTGCTGATTTTACAGTAACATAACAATTATTAACTTGACAATGTATACCCTGGTTTTTATAAAAGATAACTAAAAGATAAATAATGACAATAATAAACTACTTCCAGTGGCTGTAGTCTTTCTATCATTTCCACTGTAAAGATACTTTAGATCAAATAATTTCTATATTTAGGTTGATAATTTTTTATTTCAAAAATGATTTTACATTTTGGTATTTTTCTTTAAACAATATATCTTTAACCATCACCACCAAACATTTACTTTTGTTTAACATGTTGTTCTTTTCATTTTGTTTTTTTTTCTACCTTCTAATAGCAAGCCCGCGGCAGTACACTATTAAAAAGAGAATTACCTCACTTGAATTAAGTAGTCTTCTAGATTTTTGTGCGCTATCCTTGGTGTTTACACCGAATAAAACAAAATTCAATTTGAATAAAAATGAAATTTTAGAAAAAAACAAGTTTTTCTTTATTTTTATTATGCCCACCGCTGCCTTGAAATCTGCAAAATTAATATATGTATTTTTCTTCCCAATTATATAAATTTAAAGCATTTAAACCATCCCATTACTACACTGTTTACATTCACCAATAAAATTTATTTTTGTTTTCTCCTCTGTCTGGACGTTTTTCTGAAACAGCAACTTTCAAGAAAAACCAGGAATAAAAAGTCCCTAGAATCTTCCGACTGATATCATTTCTTCATTCCTTAAAATTAAATTATTTTTTTTTTTTTTTTGCAGGTGCAGCAACAGAACATGACCCATGCTACAAGACATGAAAAATATATTGAGGTTTTGTGAACATTTTCCTGAATAGTGTGAAAGCATAATCTTGATAAAAGAAGGTAAAACAGACAGTCACATTTTAAAGTGTCAAAGCATATGGAATCTCTGCCTGTTTGACAAGGGTGCATATTGATGGGGCAATACAATACTCCAAGTATTGACAATACACGCCATCGTGATGGGATTCAATATTTTGGTATTAAGTCATTCATCATTGCTCATGATGATGACATAATTCATGTCGAACTATTGAATCCCAACATGATGCCGTGTATTTTAATAGGCTTACTTGGAGTATGTATAGTTATGAGATTAATCAGTGGACCTTTTGGTAATACTATACAATACTGTTTGTTGGAATTATATTTGATGGTGTTTGGAAAAAAGTGAAAAAATTGAAAAGCATCTGAGTAGGCCTACTTGCTGCTACTTAGAAATTGGACTCTTGCAAGTTTTCTTTATCAATTGGGCATGTACTGAGTATTTAGTACGTGTTGGTGTTGAAATAAAAAATATATAGCATTGTTATTTGGAAATCAGATTAAACACTAACCACTATAATCGCAAGCTCAGTTGTTCAATTCGTACCCAAATGACTTTACTTGGGTAGGCAACATACTAAGCATTCATTATGATGTCAAGTATTAACACATAAAACACCATTAAATGGAATTACAGTACATACTGGTACATGAAAATCCGGATTTACACACCAGATACTATCCTGGTGTCTTATCCACTAGAACACTGACCCTGTGCTTCCAAATCAGTATTTGTGAAAGTATACTGTGAGCATACAAAAACAATATCTGTACTGTATTTGTTTTTGCAGACAACAGACAAATCTCTCTTCAAGATAACAAGTAACTTTTGATATACAAAGATTTAATAATACTGTAAGTATTAAGTGAAATATAAGGCCTGTAGCCAGGGCATTTTTTATTGTTCTCGAGAACCCCCTTTTCCAGCAAACCTCCACCCCCCCCCCCCCCCCCCTCCCCCCAAACAAGTCCTCCAACCAAACTAATACACTAGAGACTCAGACGTTTTCAAGCATCTGCTTGTATAATATAGCATTATTTAGACCCAAGCACAGAAATGCTCTGGCTTTGGGGGTTTCGTCGACCCCACTTGGGCTTCGACCCTTGACTCCATGACCAGAGAACCATCTTTCAAAGAACCAGGCTACTTGTCTGAATATGCTGAAGGTTATGAAATTATATTAAGTTTATTATTACCTTCAATTTTTTTAATTGTGTTTGTGTCTAATTCTAAAAAAATTTATATTTTTGGTAGATGCGGCAACAGAGGTGTACGACAGAAAAAGTACTGTTGCAAAGCAAGACAAGAAGAGAAACCAATATAATTAATTTTGTTTAATATAGGCAATTTTATTTTAGTTAATTAAATTTGTGATGCCTAATAGAATACAGAAGTGTATACAGCTTGAACATCCTGCTGAATATTGCATTGCCGTAATCCTGGTGAAAGAGAACATACAGGGGTATTATTTTGCAGCATCAAGGCACCAATTGCTTCATTCTAAAAAAAATGAGTACATTGTACAGAAGATATGAACTGGCTAATTACAATATGACTAGAGAACTGGAAACCTACTATAATTTATTAATATCTATTATATAAGCCTATATAATGAATTGCTGATGCCAAATAATATACATTATGTAATTTTGGTTATGGAAATAAAAAATATAAGTAGTGTGTTGTGTCGTTGCTATTGAAGTTTGAAGACTGATGGATGCAGGTAAGTTATGAAAAGTTGTTGCAGCATCATTCTGAAAACTGATTTATATTGTACAGAAGATATGAGCTGGCTAATTACAATCAGAGAAGAGAACCAGAAAGCTACTATTATTTATTACTATTAAAGCCTAGATCATTTTGATATTCCATATAATTTACATTATGTGATTTTGGTGATTAAGATAATACAGTTAAACTTGTCGACCAAATTGTTGCGTTTTCCATTAACAATCTGCAAGTCAAATACCAAATTCAAACAATTTTTCAATGGCATTTTGGATTCAACTTGGGCAAGTTCAACTGTACTTATGAGCAGTGTTTTGATGCTTCTTTGCTGTTCAAGTTGTGACGACCGATGGATGCAGGTAAGATTAAAAAAGCGCCCTCCAATAGAAAAAGGCTATATTTTTCCTATGTTCCTCAATTTCTATTAAAAGTGGTGCTGAAGGGTGCCCTCCAATAGAAAGCCAAAATTTCCAGGGTCTCTAAAATTACTATAGTTGGACTCCGGAGGGAAAACATTTTTGTAAAACTGATTTTTTTAAGACATAAAAATGTTTGACGAAAAACTGGGAAAGGGTGTAAATATTCTACAAAATATCAGAAACCGTTTTCCCTCCGGAGCCTAACTTTAATAAAGGGGACCCTCTGTGGTGCTGAAAACTGCCCTTTATAGCCATTTTATTTCAACGTTTTTCAGTGGTCTCTTATTTGTCATGAATTCTATTAATAGGGTGGTAGAGTGTGCCCTCTAATGGCCAGTTTTTTGTAATTGTGAAAAAATTGGACGTTAGAGGGTGCTTTTTAGCGCCATTGACAATTAAGAGACTCTAAAAAACTTTGGAATAAAAAGGCTATTCAGGGCGGTTTTCTTCACTATTTTTATCAGAACCGGACAGATTATTGTGGCCAAATAACTTAGTCATATTTTGGGCCTTTTTCTATTCGAGGGCGCTTTTTTTTTTTTACCATCCTGCTCATTCAATACTCGAGAAGAAATAAACACTGAATACAATTAATATTTATTTATTCAATACTATTACAATAAATTATTCAATACTAAATTGAATACAATTAATATTTATTCAAAATATTGCAGAATATTAAATAAATACAATGAATATTTATTTCAAATACGTTGCTTGAACTACCAAATCACAAGTTGCCATAATCTGAAAGAACAAGTCATTGAACAAACAATAAGAAATGCAAAGTAATACAACAAGTAATACAACAGTATATAAAGTAAAATGAAAAGGGAAAATAAAGTCAATTTTTAAAAATCAAACATGCATGCAAAGTCCAATTATAAGGGAAAATATTTTGAAGACAATTTTCATAAATCAAACTATTATGCAAAGTAAAACAACAATATATAAAGTCCAATGAAAAGGGGAAATTTTTATAATTGAAACAATTTTATAAAGTCTAATCCAATGAAAATGGAAAATATTTTAAAGTCAATTTTCATGCAAAGTAATACAACAATACATAAAGTTCAGTTAAAAGGGAAAATATTTTAAAGTCAATTTTGATAAATCAAACATTTATGCAAAGACAAGACATTTACGATTTTTTCAAGCCACAAAAAAATTTACCAATTACACAAATTGAAGAATTGAAAGAATATAATAAACTTTTTGTCAAATTTGGACAGAAAATATTCAGTTTAGGTTATGCCAAAATTAATTTAAATTATATTATGTTACTAAGTGACCCATATAAATATTTGGCATTATTATTATAACCATAAGTCTCCAGGTAATTAAAATAATTTCAGAAACAAATACCAAATCTAAAATCTGCATCAGTTTTGGGTAAAGGTTCTCGCAACCATTTATTTATCCCACAAAGCAATTTGCAATGAACATGAAACTATTAATAAGAACATTCACAAAGATTTCTCCAGCACTCACCATTCAGTAGTGGCAGCAAGAATAGTCATTCAGCCAAGCAGGGCAGGTTGACTTGTTGCAGAAGAGGTACAATGTCCAGGTTTCTTCAGAATTTCTACTGTAAAAATAAATTGCATATATAGATTTAGAATGAGGAAATACAAATGCACCATAAATATCAAAATGTTTAATTGTTCATTTAGTTATTGTAATATAATTTATGACGTATTAGTCATAACATAATTAAATATTCCGCCGTTGTGAGAAATATTAAACATGTTTAATATTCCACAACACAACTACCCCCAATGCAAACCATCGAGTCGGGCTGTCCGAGTTGGCCTTTACATGCAGAGTGATACTTGCGATACATTTTACAGTATATTCATACAATTTACTTAACTTAATTAGTTACTGTGCTTAAGATTTAAAAATCTTAATCAGAATCGCTTTCAATAAGTTCAAAAAATTATATTTTGTTAATGTCAAAACTAGCAATGAGAATACGTCATGTTTTGCATTTTTTGTCTCATAAAGAATCTAAAATCAAGGTACGGCAGGACCAGACGAATCTTTATTGTAAGATTAAATGTAGAAAGTCATCCCGATAAACACAAATCAAATTTAAAAGGTATATTTGCATTCTTAATGTTTAGACGATTACTAAATTAAGTCAAAGTAGCTACTAGAAATATATTATAAACCTTTCTCACATCAAAATCAATTGTTTCGTTTACTAAGGACTGGGGCTATAGGAAGGCATTCTATAATTGCCAAAGGCTACTGCACCACTGCAACAAACTGATTTGGAACAAGTCCTGTGTTCCATGCACCCGTGAACACCAAGGTGACACTTTTACAAGTCGCGAAATGTGTTGACCCAGTGTTCAGCCAAAATCACTAATTGCCACCAAGTTGTGATTTTGAAAAGGTATTCGAGATGAAATTGTCAATATTTACATCATATTTTGTGAGCAATACAGTATGTAGGTATGTGACTATCGGCCATTGAGCGCAATATCACAGCACCGCTTTCATTTTCTGGCAGCAACTCGACTGTCTGCACAGCCCTCTACTGTTTTGGCAGCAGAGTGACTGGTTTGGCTTGTCTTTGCCACATTTATTTTTTCTCTATGACCCGAAAAAATTGATGATGTAGTTCACATTTTCCTCTCTGCCCTTGTCATTAAACAGATTTTTTCAAAATTTGCAAAGTGAGAGAATTTGGTTTTCAAAAACATGCAATTTTCAAGATAATATAATATATTTTTCTGAAGCCAGGCAATTCCACGGTAACTGACGTTACATTTCATCCTATATTCAGTGGCGTCACAGAGTTTGTGGGGCCCTGGCACTAATTTTTATTTGGGGCCCTAACATGCCAGGCTTGCAGGTGCGTTTTGCAAGAGAAACGGACCTTAGGCTGGGGGGGGGGGATGGTGGGTAAAGCAACCAGCTGAGCTCTGACAAATTAGCATTTTGAGCACCTTATAAATGAACTTCTATTCTATTTAATTTTTATTCATTCAGGTGTTGTTAGAGACTTGGGTTGTAACTTCTTTATGTCCTTTACATCTGTAGGCCTACAGATAACATTTAATTGTTCATAATGGATCCAACTCCAAACACTGGAGCTGATATTTTCCAACAAACTTCGTACCACAGTTATTAAAATCTAGAGGTATTTTAAATCTAGTTATTAAAATAATAACTAGTTTTACTGAATTAAGAGGTTAAGTTTGCGTGCATAGCTAACAAACAGACGCTGGAGCCAGGGGCCCCAGTTGTGGGTCCGAGGCGCCCTCGGAGCTTATGGCATTTACGAACTGTTAACTGCATTATCAGAGATTTAAGTTGTGAAGCTTGGTTACATCTACAGTAATATAAAGAGAGCAAAATACAGTAAGGGCGAAGAATACGACTCTGAAATGAGAGAAAGTCATGCATCTAGCACACACATTTTGCATAACTAATAGAGGTTTTAAAGGTAGTTTCGTAGGTGCTGCCCTATATTTCAATGCCGTAAGTCAGATAAGGTTGGATGAAAGCATTGTAAATCATGGTTATAAGTAATCTCAGGAAAGCAATGCCATAGTTTAAATAAAATACCTATTGTTAGTTTCTTAAGTTTATTATTCAATTCATTAATGTATTCTTTAAATAAGAGAAAATTGTCCAAAAAGCAGACAAGCTAAATTGCACTTGGCATACACAATGCCATCACAGTGCTGTCAACGAATTTCGCTCTCCAACTAATATTTTATCGCTAATTTATTCAATACATCATTTTTTATGATATATGACTGCATTAAATTTCAAAAAATTATGTTTGAATATGTAGACTTATTTTGGCACACAGGAAGGAATCTTAAAAAAAGGTCTGGCAGTCAATGTTTATATTGCTCTGAAACCAATTGCATTGTGTTGATACTTCTGGTATTATGTTTTACCTTGTGCACCAAAATCTTGTATTTGAAACTTTTTGACCAGTTTTCATACACTGAGGTAGGCCTATGTCTATAATATATAATAGTAATACTTGTAATTAATTAAGTAAATTATTATTTAATTAATAAATTATTGAATTTTACAATTCTTTTTTTTGTCCTTGTATACTTTAATGCTTTTTATTTTATTGAAATATGTCTAAAAACAAAGAAGATAAAGCAGTTTTTGATCATATCAAAAAAGGAAAAAGTCACATATTTTTCTATGTTTACATTGGTTTTGAAGGACCAAAATTAAGCATAATTAATAATTACTTAAATTTTGTAAATTTGTTGATATTTGATGGGAGAACAATAATCTTGGCATCAATGTAATGCAACATTAAGGCTCTTTCAAATGATACTAGCTGCAAAGGAATTCCTTGCATTTGAAATTTGTTGTCACATACCTACACTGTACAATATGGTGGCAATTGGTTGAAAAAATATTCTAAAATGCTTATAAATAGTTCTTAAATTTAGTTTTAATAGTGAGATACTGTATGTAGCGAAGTTTAATCCGTTCATTATGAATTTATCAAGCGTTGGTGTACGTAGTAACCGGTATTTTAAGAATATTTGTGTAGTTACTAGACCTATTATGGTCAGCAACCTTTTACAATAGGACCTGGAATTTATACAGTAGCTTCCCATGACCCAAGACCTCCAGATATCATGAAAGTTTAAAAAAATGATATAAAATATACGGACAATATAATACAGTAAAGCCCCTACATTGGGACACCCATATTCGGGGATACTTCTATTAAGGGGACACTTTTCTGTGAAACGAGGGGAATTATATATTTTAACAATACGGCCAATTCATTAATGGAACACCCCATTATTAGAACAAAGGACAATTTCTGGGTGTGCCAAATGGTCAAATCAATACATCTGAGTATTCAACGGCTATTAAGTGGACAAATACATATTTTTCATTGTATCACTAAAGCTACAGCAGTCTCAAAATAAACAAATCGTTCAACTTTACTGTATTTTGACATCTTTTGATAAAAAAAAACAAAAAAAAACTTCACATCAATTCAGAATTCTTTTTATTTATTATTGATCATCTTTTTATTATTATTATTATTATTATTTATTATTATTATTATTATTATTATACTGTGTCATGATCTATTGCTACTTTTTTTTAGCCTTTATTGATCTATTTCTTCTTTTATTATAACCTGTTATTTTTACTTTAATTTGCGAGTATGGTGATGGTATTACTATTATTATTATTATTATTATTATTATTATTATTATTATTATTATTATTATAAATTATTATTGTTACATTTATTATTATTATTATTATTATTAGCATTTTCCAAACTTAGTCTAAAAATATTATTCCTGTATGTTTTTATTTATCTTTTACTTCCGTTGGGTTTTATTAGGCCTATTATTATTTGTAATCATATTTTTGAAATGCAGCCCTCATGACTACCTACTGTATTTTTTGCTAAATCAATAAATTCAATCATTATATTTTATATATTATCAAGGTATTTTTCAATTTTCTTTAAGATTTAGATATTATCTATACTTTATTATGTTATTACCGTTACTATGTTAGATTCTGATTACTAGGCTATGACTTTGTTTTATTTTGATATCTTCATTACTATCTTATGTAATGTTATTAATTTAGTTATATTCAGCTATCAATATTTCATTATTTGGTTGTTATTCTGTCTTTACTACTATGTTATGTTATTGTTACGTTATATTAAGGTATAAACATCATGTTGCTATATTGCTATCTTCTTTTGACCATCATTTTATTTACCATATTGTCATTTCTTGTTTTCATGCAATTTTCAATCATTTTTGCTGAGAGCTTTCCAGCTGGTTTTTTCTATGTCAAATAGGTCTTCAGCGGCACATCGAATAACGACCGACTCTCAAATTTAATTTTCTCCCCCTTTTCAAACAACTCCGATAATTTTACATCTATAATATTGACCCTGACACTTATTTTTTTGCTAACAATCATGCCACATTACAATATTACGACCCCAATAAATTCTCTAGTATCAAAGCGAGCAATTTTTTTCTACCATTCATGTTAATTCTAGAAGCCTCTTAAAAAACGTTAATAAATTAAAGCAGCTCTTATCAATAATGATTTTCCTTTTGATGTCATTGGTGTATGTGAGACCTGGCTTAAGGTCAACAATCCCTTGGTTCAACTCCCCAATTACCGATTCATATCCAACCACAGAACTCACAAAGACGGTGGTGGGGTAGCCATGTATATTCGTAATAGCCTTCCATTTTCTACCAGGCATGACCTCCATCTCCCAGTCTCTACTTCTGAATCCATTTTCATTGAAATTAAACAAGACCTCATTCCAAAAATATTATTATCGGAACCGTCTATCGACCACCCTCCAACCCACTTCAATTTAATGAGGAACTTGGCTGTTTATTATCCAAATTAACAAGAGAAAACAAAATTGAATATGTCATGGGAGATTTCAACATAGATATTTTGAATACAAAACTGATGCACATGACTTTGTAAATTCTATCTTTAGTAATAATTTTCTTCCACGTATCCACAGACCATCTCACATCACAAAGACTACTGCTACCTTCTTAGATAATATAATCACAAATC